CGAGCTAATCCAACAATGAAACATACCGCACATTAACGATATAACTTTCCGAGATCTCTTATAGAACAGATCTCTCATATAGATCTATTTATAGAAATTATACGCGGAAAGCAACATATTGTAGTAAAAATTAAAATACAATTTCTGTAATCGTGGACCATACTAACGTTATAAGAAAAACCACAATACAATATATTTTACTTAATAATATTATATTTTAAGAGAATATTATAATTATTCAAATATTTTGATGCACAAAACAAATCAATATTCATTAAATTCATAATTTTTATAGTAATAAATGCTCTAATGTTTTATTCCAGCTTTACATAGAATATGTTGTAAAAGAAAATGTGTTTTTCATATAATTAGTACTGTAAAATTTTCTCTTTTAGATCGAAAAGAAAAGGGACTCGTTTTTTATAAAATTTGATGAAGTTTTGCTCTCTCTCGAAACTTGAAAAACTCTCGTATTGTCAAGATCTCTTATCGTCAAGCTCTCTATCTACTAGCTAGGTGATCACTTCAAGTTGCACACGAGAGCACCTTTCCTTCACATTTGCCACGGAAATTGTCCGGTTTGAATGAAAAACTTCAGTATCCTCGATATATAATCGCATCAAACGACAAATCTGCAGCGCCGCAGAATATAAGGGTGCGAACCGAGGGATCCGGGGGATCAACCGGTGCAGTGCGCGGGAGGGGAGAGAGCGAGGGAGGAAGGCGATCGTAGGCAGTGTCACGTGCTGCTGTCACCAGCACGGATTATATTATATAGGAATGGCAGCGAATAGGTGTAGATATAAGTACCGAGCGGCAGTTAATAAATATGATAATGGCGGGCGGAATGAGAGAAAGAGAGGGAGAGGGGGTTATCGTGGGGCGCGATATGGGATACCACTGTATAAGAGTGACCACCGGGAAGCGGGAGGCCTGTCATTGTCAGGACCTCTCGTCGTATGTCACACGACACGTAGACGCGTGCACACACAAAAACACACACACACACACACACATATATACATATATGTATACACATATATACGCGTACGTGGCGTAGCAACACGCGAAAGAGCGTGTTGTTTCCTTTTTTTCCGTGTGAACTTCCTGATCGGAAGTAGGATCGGTGTGAAATATTTTCTTGAAAATTTGAACTATTCGAAATTTCATTTCAAACTTAAAATGGTTTGGATCTTTCGAGAGATTGAAATTAGTTGAGGTGGTTGTCAAATGATTCAAACGTGGATTCGGCAAAACGTTATATCGTGAAAAGGGGCCAACGAGAAACAGATTATTCCTGTTCGCCATGAAATACAAGGAGAAAATTTTGCAATAAAAAATATTTTACATGAAAGATACATTTTCTTTTTCAACATTTTATTGTTAAAGCTAGAATATAACGAGATTATATTTATTATTATGTAATCAAAATTTGACGATTAATCGAAAATATGATATGATATATTAATAAAAATTTTAATATATATTGTAAAAAGAGAATCGTTGATGTTTAAAATAAATTCCAAAACATATTACCATTAAATAGTACTAAAATTTATAATTTATTTGTAATTTTTATCATAAAAATAATATTTACACTAGTAATATGTTATATCTGTTTTTTAATTATAAGAAAATTACAGTTAATTTATTGATAATTTTTATAATGATATATGTAAAAATAGAGCAAGAGAGAAAATTCATATGAACAAGTCATACATTAATACGTTAATTTTAATTCTTTTTAGTAAATATAATTTCAATATATATATACATTATATTATATTATATTATTTGCAAATCAATATGTATCCCTTTTCTACATATTATTAATAAACTTTAATAAATATTTTAAATAAACGCAGTGTTCAAGTTCTGAGTAGCATATTGATTATTTGAATCCATAAAATAATTTTGTTTTCGAATATAACCCTTTTCGTCTACCACACTCTCTATCACGTTATTCGTAAACTTACTTAACATCCGTATGGATTAATAATAATTATCGCAAAATCTCTTCATTTCCTGACCTAGTAATTTGCGTTTTAAACTTAAACCACGTTCTCCGGCGAGCGTTTGACATTGCGCCGCCCCGCTCTCTCCGCGCCTCGCCGGAGTAATTAGTCACGGTGCATTTAATAAATCGCCAGCTCCCGGGGCGGTTAAGCCGGGCTTCTCTTCCCCTTGGAAAATATCCAATAACGACCGGCTGACTCCGCTCGTCACCGGCAGCTCCGGCACTCTTATACCTGTGCCCTGGCATTAACCTTCGTCTATCCATCCAAGAGATCGGCTTACCTTAATAATTGTAGGTACACGTCGCTGGAATTGTGCCCCCTTTCTCGTCAGGGGGGTTTCACCCCTCGCGTAGGGGTGTTACCATGGCGTCTCATCCGGCGCGTCGTCAAGGCGAAGTGATCGAAAATCGCGAGAGATGTAATGAAACATTCTTAACGCGACGAGGGCTCGTATTTTGATTGGTGAATGGCACTCCTTGTCCAGAGCGCTCGTGAGAAGATCGAATGAATTTACTTGTGTAAGAATCAATGTAATCTAGTACTTCTCAACGCATACATACGTTCATAGGAATTATTCATTCATTCGTTCTATGTCTGCTAACGGACTTGTAATGCTGAAATTTATTGTACGATTTATTTGATTTATTTAAGCCGATAAATTAAAGAAGATAGAAAGTAATTTTTGTTCGATCGTTCTATTTTTCATCAGAATATTAAAAAATGTTCTTTATGGAATAATCTAATAAATGTTTTAAATTTTCCAGAGTAGATAAATAAGGATAATTAAATATTATATAATATTACATTAATCTCTAATAAAATAATAATATGTAAATAAATATATTTAACATCGAAAGAGAAACCACTATCTTGATTACCATTTTCGGGTGAGCAGAAAAGAAGAAAGAAAAAGCGAGAAAATAGAGAAAATGTAAACGAGATCCAGTTGATGTTTGAATAAGTATCGTGTTTTATTAATATCTCTCTTATTATTTACAAAATTTTATAACCTCTAGCTGTGATTTTCTCATCATGACACGCTACTCACTATCGTCGATCCTATACTTTTTTTTCTTTATTCTGCATTAACCTGCGTTATAATGTAATGTTCGATAATGCTCGTCCACGCTAAATCGTTTATGTAGAAGTTGAACATCGTCGCTCGATTTAGAAATTCGTTGATTCGACACACATAACGCACGCACAATACATTTCTCATCACACGCGCGCGCGCGCGCGCGTCACTTACGACAAACGTGTATTTACAATGTGTCATTTACAATCGAATATGCGAAATTGTAAATTTTACATTTGTCCTAAGATTCTCACTTGCAACGCGGAAACGTTCATCGAATCTCAAAAACGCTTCGATTCATTTCTCTTGCACTTTTCTTTCACCAACTTTGTCTCGTTTTCTTACAAGAAAGGAAACTTTCAAACTTTTCTCTCCCTCCCCCTCCCCCTTCTTCTTCCCTCTCTCTTTCAAGCACTATTGCTCACAAATAAAATCGCGTTACAGATTTATAAAATCGTCTTGATAAATCGCACGACATCTTTTGTAATTTTCAACAAATTCATTGACATTATTATTTATTATTTTTTGTTTAATTCATAATATGCATTACACGAGAATATAATGGAATTTCAATGGAACATAATATTTCATTATCTGTGACAGCGCCATAAATCCCAACAACTATGCGAGTTTTGTAAGTTTGTTTTATCAGTGCGTACATAAGCATAATATCAAGACAAAAATAAGCCGATAATATATTCTCGTCTTTATAGAAATCGGCATTCGATAAAATTGATAAAACAAAGACCATTGAGTTTTTTCTTGCTCGACATTTCTCTAGCCGTGATGACGAGATTTATGATATTTGTAAAGATATATAATTGCACTCTTTCGAAAAGATAATTTTTCATTTTTCTAAGCACACAGTCTTCGTGCAGGATGAGTGAAAATATTTAAATCATCGAAAACTTTATTTCGCGCGAGTTTTTATTAAGAAATCGATATTTTATTGATCGGCCGTATAAAAATGTCACCACGCATAGATGAAATAATATATGCGTCGATGTAACAGTATATTTGCATTTGCGGACAATGCAGCGAAATATATCGTTCGAATCGCGCGTTGTTTGACGAATCCCGTGTAACGCATTGTTCGACTTTCCACGAGCGACACAATGTCGGCTCGCGAATGTCGCGTCGGATGTCGCGTCGCGTTCGGCTTGAAATCGCAGTCACAATCACCGCGGTGTACTATTTCGTAATTCGAATCGACGGGTTTCAATCCATCGAGTGGACACCGGCAACTGGTAATTCGTGCGAGGCGAACAATAATCCGTTGCAGCGTGTTTTGTTTCCGTCGCGCTTTACAATGTCGTTTATTCCGCGGCGAGATTCTGTAAATGAATTTCAACATACGAACGCGATCTGCGGAAATTACATTTTTTTTTTTTTCTCGCAGATAAAAC